AGGATAAAAATAGGACTATTTGAAATGGAAATTTGAAAATACAAGTGAAAACTAATGGTATACCAAGAGCAGGTTCCTAGAGTTACATTTGGCTAATGACAAAGCGACACAGAACAAAATTAAAGCACTCTTTTCCATTGTTTGCACTGACATTCTTTTCGTCTGGATCATTAAATGAATGAATGAATTAGAAAGTGTGTTGAAACGTGTCTAGCACACATTACAGAAAGTGGACAGATCTACGACAGAACAGGACCTTTGTACCTACCACCAGCGACTTTCACGTGCACATCACAAATTTATCCCCCGTAAAATAAATACGGTATTGGACAAGTCGCGGGCTATTCGACAGGTAATATAGTTACTGTACGGGACACATCAAACTAAAAGTATAAATGTCCATCAAGAAGATTGAAGCCTCGGAAAAGTTTCCAGCTTTAATTTATAAGTTTGTTAATGGAGACGAATTAAAAACGGAAAACGACGCCTCGAAAACGACTCCGATGTTACCACAACAACTGAATTTGAGCGCAAATATGGCGTGGGAACAAAGATGAGCGGAGACGAAACAGCGCACAAATTCGGTTTATGAAATAAGCGAGGGCAGCGGGGCTTTGTGTTACGTTCGCACATTTGGCGTGAGAACAAAAAATCCCATTGGGCAAAGAAAAAATTAAACAAGTTGGTTCAACTGTTTACGAATGCTTTTCATTCTCTCAACCAATCGTGTTATGTTCCGCCTAAGCTCCTAGTCATGTATGCAAATCAGCACGACGAACAAAAACAAGCGAAGACTCGGAAACCTGAAAATCACTAAAAATTTCTCAGTTTAATCGCGATTGCTTATGTCCGGCCAAAATTGATCACAAAACCTTTGAGGACAATTGTAGAAGATGAGATGAAAATATAAAAAAATCTCCAGCCCGTAATATGGCTAGCAAAAACACAGACACAACCACAAATAGATGCCTGTACAATCCACGCACCCATAAGCGAGCGGAATGAAGCGTCCATACTATTCACGATCATTCTTGATGTTTTTGCCTGTGTCTCCTCAAATAAACGGCATTTTCGCCAGTACATACCATTAATAAGTTCCAGATTACATTTGTCTCAATCTTATCCTCTAAAAAAGTATTTTCGAACGATTTTCATTCATCGGGTATTCAGCTTAATGGCGGGCTCTTCACGCATAAACACATCGACACGTAAACCAACATTTGCTGTTCTTTGTTCAACTTCGATTCAAAGCACAAATTTGCCGTGATAGCAAATCTATAAAATCTAAGAGACATATCACCACAGATAAAAATAAAAAGAACCACGCGATGGGACAGAAAACAGAGAAAAACACGACCAACAAAACTGCTCCGTCTCGCTCTCCTTCACAACAACAACAAGCGGGTTCTATATTACACATCATCAGGGATCGAAATACTTACGACAGTTTTGCTCATCGGAGTTATCTCCACAGTCATCATCACCATCACATCGCCAATTTTCTGGTATACATGTGAGATTCGCGCAGACAAACTGATCTTCACCGCAACGAAACGCTGAAATAAAAGGATGGTCGTTAGTACACGGTAATATGAGGGTTCTTACAAGCTTAGACATAGTACGCTTATAGCAGAGATTCAACACGGTTTGAAGCTTGTCGAGTCGTTCAAAACAACGAAAATACTTTTCAAGACCTATTGTCTTAGTCTTTATGTTTAATAAGGAAATACAACAAGGCGATTTTCTGATGTTTTGAAACCAAAACACGATTAGCCAAGGGAAGTAATAGATGTCGACAAGATTGTCGCACGCATGTTGTCGAACTGAATCACTTTCCAGCCTATCCCGGAAGATTTTGTACAAAAATCGTGAATTAAACGCAGGAAAGTAGGGGATAGTACATTGTTGGTATGGGGAATAGAGATCGAGATCGTTGTCAACATTACATTTTACGACAACGAAAACCACAACACAACGTAACTAGCACACTACGCAGCTGAAAGATATGCGCTTACCTATTGTTTGAAAAAAATCCAAAGCGGCCAGCAGACAGATCAAAATCCCAAACAAAGCCCCTCTGAATCTTGCCATATCCAAGATTCCCTTGAGGAAGATATATTCTAAAGGCGAAGAAACAGAATTAACCACATTTAACTACTATTTCCGCACAATAACACAAGAACTCCATCCAAGAATCTGACGTTTGTGTTGTTGTCACACATACCAACCTGTTGGCGGGAAAAATGCCAAAGCCGACGACTGAATTCCAAATAAGGTAAAGTTGGAGTCATGTGATTATAAGTGACCAATCACAACATCGAAAATAAATGGCGGTTTGTCACTGGTATTTCCGGAATAATCTCGTTAATTCCTCGGAGACCGAAGATATGTGAAAACGTGAAAACCAAAGTAAACAATTTTATTGTGATTTGCGCATGACATAAAGTAAGCCAGGTGATATAATATTACTATCTGTTACAACTTTTCTCGAAGTTGGATGACAATTTAGCAAGGATTTTTCGACCCAAAGATCTCCAAGCTTCAACAGGACTCATCTATAAACTCTACTTTTTTTTTGTTTTCATGCTTGGAAGTGAACCAGGTGCTAAAAAAGTTCTTCTTTGAAGCTTTAGCTTAAGAATACAATCGTCTCTCCTTGCACCCGGCCTGCTAAATTCTCTCGCAAATGACAGACGGATGTGTATCCACAGGAAGCTCATTCCCGTGATTAAAATGTTGTTGTTCTTTCTTTGGCCAATTTTTTTTTTTAACATCACACATGTCCTGATTTATTTAAAACGAATAATAAAATGGCGAAAATAAATTCTGATAATTGTACGATTAGAAAAATGTATAACTATATTTCCCGAAATATTACATGTAATGACGATCTCTTTCTTTTAGCAGTGTCTTGTGACTCTAACATCAGCGATATTTACATCAATGATGTTATTTTATTATTAATGAAGAAAAAACCCGAGTCGTCCAATTTTAAAAAATATATATATTCAAATTCCCAGCCCCCTTAAAACGTACATACCAAAGCTGAACTAACTAAGACTTTTGTTTTGAATATAAGAAGGGGATTTCCATCAGAAGAACTAAACAGGTTGTCGTTTTGCACAATGAACTGGCACCCTTGTATAAGAAAGCTAATACGCAGTTTTAAAAAGGGCACAATTTTCATCTTAAGTTCTCTAATTTCTTGTTATGAAATTTAAAATTTATTGTCTCGCCTAGCTAAACCACAAAGTAAACAACCGAAGCCAGAAAATTAATTTTGAACGTTTTCTATCGCTTGCGTTACTTTTTACCCTGGAGTGATGTCGTTACATTTTTAAAGCACCAATTTAGCCGACAAGGACCTTCTACTCATTATATTAAAATAACCCTCGTCTTTTTTCTCCAAAGCAGTATATTAATAGTTGCACTGAAGTATTTCCCGTCATAGCATTTAAAACATTTCGAGCCAATACAACTCGGTGTCCGTCACGAAGATATTTTCTGCATCGAGGGCAGAGTTTCATCTTCAAACTTAACCAGGAAACTGTAGCACTGATCATATCAAGTCTCCATTGCCTTACTTTTTCCGACTTTTCCGACTTTTACGAGAAAAAGATATTAGCAACTTTTTGTTGGTGGTCTTCAAGTTTTATGCACTTAATGCAAGGAACCCATTCGAGTTTTAATATAGAGGACCGTGCGTTCTGTCACAATTTCTACTTTGTGTTTTGAAATTCAAACAACGTGTTCCAAAATCAGTTTGCTGTCTTGAAACGTGTGTGAAACTCAAAAGCAACAGCCAGACCAAGTCAGACACAAAGTGAAAAGAAATTCTTCTCATAAAAGTCGTCATTCAGTGTTATTTTACGAAACTTGATGCCAAGGTTTCTGCTCTGACGATGAAAAACGATAAGAAAAAAATATTTGCGTTGTGAAAAAAAAAAAAATTATTATAGGGATAGACAGTAACTTGACATCGGGGTATAACTTCTGAGCATAAGTTTTCATAAAACAAGCTTTCTTGTGATCGCTTGTAATCATTATAATGCAAGTAATCCTCTTGCTGCAATGAGTTCGCTTATTAGAGTCGCTTTCGACTATTCTCATCTGGAGAAAGAAAATTGTGTTTGTCAACTTCAGCCACGAATTGTGAAATGGCGTAGCACTTTTCCAAAAAAAAAAGAAAAACGAAAAAAATATTTTTTAAAAGACGTTGAAAATTTTAACTTCGAACAAACGAGAATCAAAGTTCGAGTTCTCCTTCATGAGCGCTTATCCCTGTTGTACCGGCTTGACCGGTTTAACAATGTTGTTTACATGAATATAGAGTGAGTACCGGAAATACGTGTATGCGGTTTTATGTAAATCCCTCCAATTTATTAGCTTTTATTGCAAGGCTCAGTACTTCGACAAACACAACGGAAGAATTCAAAGGTATGTCGTCAATGATAATCGATGTAACATAGCAAATTTCCCTGCCGTGGTCTTTTCGATAAATTTATCCACAACTGAAACATTTTTAATGTTTTTTTTTTACCGCACGCTTTGTGTTAAAGACCTTGAACAAGCCGCAAGGTATGGAAAATTTGGGAAGATGTTGGTGATCAAAAGGAAAAAAAAAACCCGGCCTTTCTTTCACACGTTAAGAGAATTTGAAACCAGGATATAAAGATAATGTCACTAATTTCGAGAAAGTTCTTAATCAAATTTTATCAGTTATTTTAAAAGAAAACAATAGGTAAATAAACAACAAAATGATTCAATTCTTATCGATTTCAATAAACAGAAGAAGAAGATCCAGTTTCACAGACTTGGCTGTCCTTGATGGGTGAAAATAAGAATCGATGTCACAGCAGCAGATTGCGTGAACAACAACAAAAAAGAAATTAAATGGCACAAACTATGATTTGTGTAAATATGTACACTTCCAAAAAATAATAATAAAAAATAAAAGAGAGAACCTGCATAACTATTTAGAAAAATCAGTCGGAAAGAACAAATTATTCTATTTGTACTGGCGTATCAAAGGTGAAACTAGGTAAGTTTGAATTACTTGGACGCTGTTAAATACCTGCTTTTTCACATCACGTGAGAACAATTCATGTTAATGTTGTTTACACAATTCGGGAGCTCTTCCTCAAGCACGTTTATCCAATCGAAAGGAAAAAGACCACCGAAAGTGAAGGAAAGAAGACGACGAAACCTTCCTCGGTGCTCAATTTACTTCTTTTAAGTACGTGCCTCACTAAAATTACGTCCACATATCAAACATGGCTCAAACAGTTATCAAATCTTCACATCTCTAGACTGTCTCGGACCTCAGATCGAAATAGCTCTTCGTCAGAAAGATAATCAACCTCTGTGTTTAATTAATAAAAGACGTTAAATAAAAGACACGCTAAGGCTCTTGAAGTAGACTGAATTGGTCTGTGCAGCAACACGGTTCTTTGCAAGCGACTTGTGTTCGAATTCGTTACGCTGCACTGAGATGGCTCAAATGAATTCAAGTGGCTTCTAACATTTGCAAAGAACTTCTGAATTGTACACAACGATTTTGCTCGACTAAAATAAGTCAGCTATATATAGCCGTCTATACAACTAGAATTGCGTTTAACAGTTATTATTAACGAGCAAGGTACGTACCTTAGCGGAGATCTGTAGATTTTCGGCAACGTTCTTGGACGAGATGTAACAAGATTTGGAAATCACGTGCGCTCACGAAAGCGCTATAAAAAGAATCTGTCACTTGGAGACTACACCAGATTCAAGATCTAACGCTAAAAACAGCTGAAATCATGGATTTGACGCTGAATTTGCAACAAATACGCCGCTTGATCCACGAAAAACGCGCACAGTTCATAAACATGAAACGTAATATGACATTCTTGGCTTTTCTGGTTCACTTCCCCGGGGGCCGGTATTAGAAGTTTATGACGCAAGCTTCACATGATATGATACTTACGAATATAGAAGGTATTCCGTAAATGACATTTGAGGTCAGAATATTGATAACAAAACCAAGTACACGCCACTCAAGGCTTGCGCCTTACTTGATGGAAAACACGGAATCCTCTAGGGTAGTATGCGACTTCGAATGAGTTGCTCAGAATATGTTTGAGTAGTTTTCAGCATCAGGTTTTTTGAGTTATAGAGTTGTGCATGAACAGCATCGAAAACGTGTCAGAACACTTGGATAAAATCGATAAACAGTCTCAAAACGACGAAAAGAAACTTGTGACTTACGCGTTGTTGTTGGTAGTCCTTGTCCAATCCGCAACCCGGAGCGAATGGAAAACGCGAGCGGAACTTGCTATGGCGAGGTTTTCCTCACTTCTGTTAGAGCACAGATGTTCGATCAGTTATTCTACGAGTCTTAACGCATCTTAATTCTGCTAATTCATTGAAAAATCCTCGAGTATTTGCTTCTTTACAACACACGCTCGAGCAAGGACCATGTGCTGATATAAATATGCATGACGCCGTTAATTTGTTTAACAATAGAACATTCAGTCTTATTTGAAATCAACTCACGTCGTTGCATACACGATCAGAGACCAGCCATTGTCAGTCGAGTTCATTTGTCCCAAGCGCTCAAGTGTAGAAAGGATTCTAAAGAATTTCAACGCTCTTCGACCAACAATTCTTTGTGTATCTTTATCAAAACAAAAGGGCTCACCATGGTTTATTCTTTTAAAAGTCTTATCGCCAAGCGATCAGAGCCTCAAGCTTGATTCTACCCAATATTTCGCAATCGGACAGAGAGAGGGTAGTAATAATAAAGCCCTAGCACTTTGTTATTTTTCTTTATCGAAAATTGATCAAACTATTCTTCGAGATAAAAAAATATTAATTGTATATATAAAAAATATCTGAACGACAGTAAAAGAAAACTGTACAATTCGTGTTCTTTATCCGACAGTTTTTAAAACAAATAGAACACACTAAAAATATGGGGATCTACATGGGTGGACTTTCTAAAATAGATTTTTCGGAGTTATGTATTGTTGAACTTTAACGTAAGAAAAATATAAATATTATTTGTAAAAACTTATGTACTCAACAAGAAGGTTTAGGTCTGAAAGCACTTAGTGCCGTTAAATTACCAATATAACACACAAGAGCGAATTACTTACGCCTTATTTCGCCAAACTTGAATGTTGTCACTAAATGTGGAACAGTGTTTCTTCTCTGCTGTATGTTTAGGCGGAAACTGTTACATCTAAATCACTGCGGAAGGCGATTCTCGAATTTGAGATCTATCGCCAATTTACAGAGCAGATCGGGGGCAAAAACGGGGGCGTATCTTCAACTCGGTTGAATCGAGAAGTCAGGAGACAGAATTTTAGCCAATACACGGATTTGTTAACTCAGCTGTGTTTAAAATATTCCGTACAATGTGACTAAGATTTAGTAGATTCGTGTTTGGGTTTCGTGCGAGGGAAACAATAACATGAGGGTTTTCCTTGTGTAGGCGCCAATTTGGCGGGCAAATTTTGGAATGTATTTCCTGTCGTTCGCGCATGGCTCGAGGCTGCCCGCAACGGTCAACGGTCTCTTGGAAATAAGTTAATATAGTAATATAACGACATGCTTCTAAAAAAAAGAACCTAGTGATGTTTAAATTAAATCAAGGAGTACTTATTTCTATCATCAGAATTTGGGCATAAAGTTGCTTTTACATAATTTAACATTTCGAAAACTGCACAATTTTGAAACTATAAATCATTGTTGTAGCTCTTTTGTGTTTAATAATTTTATATCATTTTAAATTCTTGGAAGGAAATGCATTTTCCAGTGACATAAATTAGTTTAGAAACTAATTATTTGCATCAAAATTATTTCAGCATTTACCGAAGCCGTTTATGACAGTTAGTTGTACCAAAAAGAGCAAGTGATAATAGCACGGAGGACTACACAGAATTAAAATGCCAAAAAATTCACCTGGAAGCCTGAATTTTGCTACAAAGGAAATTCTCATTATCATGGCAACTATGGGATCTCCACCTGAATTTTGAACAACAACAAACGTTCGGAGCTTTGGACAATTTGGATGCAATTAATTAATAGCTAGTCAGAAATGAAGAGAGTACTTTTGCCAACCTAGCTAGTAAAAATATACTCGTTAAACATTCTGTATTCCACGGGTTTACGGTTAATAACAGGAAGACTTATTAGGCAAACTGGTTTACGCTATTTTTTTGGCAGATTCTCATATTGGGGTTTCCTTTCNATAGTACATTGTTGGTATGGGGAATAGAGATCGAGATCGTTGTCAACATTACATTTTACGACAACGAAAACCACAACACAACGTAACTAGCACACTACGCAGCTGAAAGATATGCGCTTACCTATTGTTTGAAAAAAATCCAAAGCGGCCAGCAGACAGATCAAAATCCCAAACAAAGCCCCTCTGAATCTTGCCATATCCAAGATTCCCTTGAGGAAGATATATTCTAAAGGCGAAGAAACAGAATTAACCACATTTAACTACTATTTCCGCACAATAACACAAGAACTCCATCCAAGAATCTGACGTTTGTGTTGTTGTCACACATACCAACCTGTTGGCGGGAAAAATGCCAAAGCCGACGACTGAATTCCAAATAAGGTAAAGTTGGAGTCATGTGATTATAAGTGACCAATCACAACATCGAAAATAAATGGCGGTTTGTCACTGGTATTTCCGGAATAATCTCGTTAATTCCTCGGAGACCGAAGATATGTGAAAACGTGAAAACCAAAGTAAACAATTTTATTGTGATTTGCGCATGACATAAAGTAAGCCAGGTGATATAATATTACTATCTGTTACAACTTTTCTCGAAGTTGGATGACAATTTAGCAAGGATTTTTCGACCCAAAGATCTCCAAGCTTCAACAGGACTCATCTATAAACTCTACTTTTTTTTTGTTT